CATTCATAACTAAGAATAAGCCTTCATGTGTGATTTATTTGGGAGCTGGGTGCTGGGCCCCTCAAAAACTACATTGTGGTTGGTCATGGTGTCTCTTCAGAGCAATAGAAACCCTAACTAAGACAAATAGCTACATTAATCTCATGAAATAACCAAGAAATTACTAGAGAAATATGATCTCAGAATCCACCAAGAGTGAAATTTGGAAGCAAAGTTCATGTAGAGTCCTCCTAGAGTTTTACACACATGAAAAGGTTAGGTCATGTTCTAACAATATAGGCAATGTAGAAGACCCATTGCCTGGCCATTGATCAACTGAATCAGGCCTTATACCCCTTTCTTCAGAACAATTAGTACTCTCAAAAATTAATCAGAGTGTGTAGTCCAGAGTGTGTAGTCTGACCAGTCTTGCCTGCACCATTCTCAACCTTGAGCCTTGGCCACATCACATACCCAGTGGACCAGCTGAGTCTAATCAGACTTCCTGATCCTAGCTTACTGCACCACATCCAATTTTTAGGCCTATTCTGAGTCTGAGAGCCCAAATCCAAGTCTAATTAGGAAAGTTCCCTGAACCCTAGCTGGCTTGCACCCTTCCCAACCCCCTGGCCCAATCTGATAAGAGAATACTATAGTATACTTTGAACCCAGCATTCAAGATGCAGGGGCAGGTGGATTTCTGTGAGTTAGAGGGCTCCCTGGTCAGTATAATTCTAGTCATCCAGAGATACATTATGAGACCTTTTCTCAAACAAAACAAAAACCCCAATATAAGGAAAAAAAAAAAAAGGATGGATTTCTAGATTCAACCAAACCACCAAAGTTAAACTAGGAAGAGATCAACAAACCAAATACTCATGATTTAGAAAGAAATTCAAATGTTTATAATAAGCCTTCTGAACCTCCTATGACCCACAACCAAACCTAGGCTCCAGATAGATTCACAGCAGATTTCCACCAACTTTCAGAGATCTACAACCAATACTCTTTTTGGAAGGAAGGAGGGAAGAGAAGGAAAGGAAAAGGAGGGAGGACTTCCAAGCTCATTTTACGAAGCCAGTGTTATGTGAATACCAAAACTAGGTAAAGACACATGAAATGAAAACTGCAAGTCAGTGTCCCTGATGGAAAGGCATTTTTTAAAAATTCAAAGTGAGCTGGTGTGATGCCCTGATAGCACTTTGATACTGATGTCAAAAACATAGAGGCCCACTTTAGATACACAAAAGATAGTTAAAAACACTAGCCAACTAATTGTTTAAGAACCCTTTAGTAATGGGTAGGCTAACACCTCCATAATGTCTCATGGTGCTGAAGCTCAGGAGTATAGGGTTTTTAATTACAAAAGCCACAATCACATCAGTGCTGGGGGAGCAGGTGTTTGAATAGCCTTGTAAAATCTCTCTTTTTGCAGAGCTTAGCAGTATTTCCAATATACAGAGCTTAGCAGTATTTCCAATATACTACATGGCATTGATTTATATTTCTAGTTATTTTATTTTTATGTTTTAGTTTGTGTGAACATTAATTATTATGGTTGATAGTCACAAACAGTTCCAAAAGTGTTACCAAGGCAGATGTAGGTATTGGGGGTGAGGTGGGGTGGAAGGCTGAGGAGTATCTAGGCAGCCACAAAATAAGAGTCAGGCAAATCAGCACATTAAATTGGCTATTCTAGAGAAAAAGCTGTTATATGAAGACAGTACACACACACACACACACACACACACACAGAGAGAGAGAGAGAGAGAGGCGAGAGAGAGAGAGAGAGAGAGAGAGAGAAATGACCAATGGATAATAAATATTTTTAAACTGCTTAAATCCTTATCCATTTGAGGAATTGTAAATTAACAATTTGTGGTCGCTTTCAACCCAGTCAGAATGGTTATCATTGTGAAAACAAATGGCAACCAGTGATGGTGAGGATGTGGGAGACGGGGACTCTTACTCTCTGTTGGTGGAAGTGTAAACCGATACACTGCTGTTGAAAACAGTGTGGAAATTTCTCAGGAATTCAACATAGAACAACAGTATAAGTGAGTATATCCTGGTGGCCAATTCTATCTTATTGACATGCATATCTATGTATGTGTCCAGTTTTTAATACTATGGCTCTGTTGTATGTCTTGAAATATAGCATGAGGATGTCTCCAGAATTAGTATTTCTTCCTCACAGCTGTTTTAGAGTCCAGGGGTCTGCTATGCTCCAGTATAATAATCTTAGCATGCTTTTTCTATTTGTGTGAAGAAAGATGAGATTTTAATGTAGATCACATTGAAAAGTTTTGTTTGTTTGTACAACAGCCATTTTCACAACAGTATATTTTTCTATCTGTGTGCATGGGAGATCTTCCTTCTGGTAGATTCCTCAATTCTTTTGCCATTTTGATGTTTAATTTCGGGCATCATTCATTTTCTTGGTTAGGTTTATTCCAAGGTGTTTTGTAGCTCTTTAGGCTGTTCTGGTTAATACTGTATCCTTGATTACTTTCTCAGTCCATTTGTCATTAGTTATAGGAAATTCCTGATTTTTGTGTGTTTCTTTGTACCCAGCCTATTGCCCTCCATATGCCATGTATACATTCAGATAGGTAATTTTGATCTAGATAGTTTGAGAAAGGTAAACTTCTACAAAAACCTAGTCCATTGGTTTCCTAACAGTAGTTGAAAGAAACCTATAGATGAACAGCTAGATGATTAAGAGGGCTTCTGTAGTGAGAAATGGAGAAGGAAAAATTCAAACTTCTTTACAACAACCAGGTCAGTCTCACCTCTTCTGGCCACCTGTCTTCCCGGGGAAGCCTCTGCAACCGGTTTTTTGTCAGCTCAAGTTGTAGGCCATCGAACCTGCATTTAAACCATCGGTGAGCTTCTTCCAGATTAGCTGTTATCTGAACACAGAAATGGCAACAAATTCTTTTGTGTATGTGTATGGGAGATTTATACCTAGCTATCAGAAGACTCAAATCCTCACATGGGATCCTTGCATCGAGTCTGTATAGTACACTGAACAACCATTAAGCTGAGAAAACACACTGAGCAAGGCAATTAAAGGGTGCTCACATGCAGGCTCCTGCTTCCTACACATTCTGTCAGTACTCCCTGCATAGCCTACACCTAGTGAAGCATTGACAGAGTAGGTCTAGCAGACATGTGCTGCCAAACACTTTCTGACATTAGCAAGGCCATCATGTGGGCACACTATATTAAGATAAAAGCCCTGGACTTCTTTGCCATAATGCAATTTGACTTTTAGGAGCTACAAAAATATTTTCAGGTCTGTTGGTACAACCTGGTAACAGCAACAACTTCACTTTCTAAACCCAGCCCAACCCTTCCTCCAAGTGTTTTGTTTTGTTTTCCCCCCAGAAGTACAGTGAAAGACACTGAAATAAGTATGGCAAATGGAAGGGAACTCACTGAAAAGTCTATCAGAATAAGACAGTAGTGGGTGTTAGCTAATTGAATTATCTTGTAAACGCAGTAATGAATAGTTCATAGAAAGTAAACATGGGCTGAGAAGGCAACTCATTGCATAAAGTGCTGGCTGTGTATGAGGACCTCAGTTTGATTTCCAGAGCCCACATTAGAAGATAAGCTGTGTGTGGTGGCATGTACTTGTAATCCCAGAGACAGGCAGATCCCTGGGACTTGCTGGATAGCCGGCCTAGTCTAGTTGCTGAGTTCCAGTCCAATAACAGACCCTGTCTCAAAAAAAAGGGTGGATGGTACCTGAGGATACCCAAGGTTGTCCTCTGGCCTCCACATGCGTGATAACACTCATACACATGCACCCCCATACATAAACAAATATGTTATGTGCATACATACACTAAAAAAAATGAGAGTAAATGTAACTTTATAAAGGGCACAGAAAAAGCTTCATAACTGGCACTCAAACTTGGATCAAGAGTCCTTTTCTTTCTAATATATTAGTTGGCAAGTTAGTCTGCTGTGTAACTTAATGGTCATTTAGGAGCCAATGATAAATGGACAGTTATGTTATTGTGATACTTTAAAATTTCCTTTGCATGCCACTGTAACACCCATGGACATATTGTGCCAGGGTGGTCATTACTGTAGCTCCCAGGGTTCTACATGGGTGAAAGCAGTGGTGTGAATATGGGAATAACCAACCACTTTCTGATTAGATTTGAGGCCTGTTCTACAGAAGGAAAACTCATGTCTCTTACTGTAAATCTAGCCAAGAACCTGTGGCCAGGGAACTCACAGGTGTCGAGCAGCAATGTGCATTAGATCCACACCTAGCTGCCCTTCCCTTGAGTTTAGTGGTATGTATTTAGGCTTCAGATTTCATTAATATCCTAGCATTCATTATCAGGACATAGAATCTTATCTAAAATTCTTCACAATCAACATAATACTTAGTAAACTGTTGTCCTCTGCCTGCTGATATCCTGACAACTGTGTCAATGGCAGACTCCATAGTACTCTTATGTGTAGGGCTGCTCTATTTCTCTTAAGTGCCGCGTCTGGCTCACCTGCTCTGACTCCACACTGGCTTCTTTTAGTTTATTCTCTGTTGCTTCTTTACACCTCTTCAGGTGTCTGATAGTTTCTTCAAATTCCTGAAAATGTGATTAGAAGTACCATATAGAACCAAAATGCTTCAAATTTATAACATTGGCAATTATATCATGAAAATAAGCCAGAGCACTTTTGAACTTCTATTTTGTATTTTAATACAATTTAATCTATAGTTTATCTAAACAGTTTGAGTTTGGTTTATGGATTCTGCCAAGAGAAATTAAAGTCTCTGTTTTTAGAATTAAAAAGAACCTTTCGTGGCTATTGGAAGACAGGAACTCAATAATCTCTTGAAGTTTGTTTTTGGTTATTACAGTTTTTATTCATTAGGAACAGCTGGATTCCTGTGGCAGCACCAAGTCCATTCTTTTTGTAGAGAAGAATAAAGAGCTGTAAAGTTCCCAGAAGACCAAGGCATCAGCTCCAAAGGCCCCGTGCTGGTGTTTTGTTTATATGAGCTCTAGCTTTTTTGTAAAAGCAAACTGAGAATGAAGTTTCCACATTCCAAACTACCACAATTTCAGTACGAAATGTCCTTCAAAAGGCTCATGTGCTGAATGCTGACTCCAGCTGGTGGCTTTACTTTGGAAGGTGGCAGAAACTTTAGGAAGTGGGGGCTAGCTGGTCACTGGGGGTATTTGAAGGATATACCCAGTCCCAGTTGCCTCTTCTGTACACCATGAGGTGTACACCATGAGGTGGGCAGTCTCCTATACATGCCCCTGTTCTCATGATGTCCTGCCTCACCTGGGATCCTGAATTAACAGAGCCAGTATCTAGAGACTAAAATCTTTGAAACTATGACCTGATGTAAATCCTCCTTTTAGTTGTATGTGTCAAGTATTCTTGCCACTATTGTCACTACAAAAGGAAAGTAACTAATATACCTACCATCTTTCTAAACATGTGTCTTAGTTTTTTATTGCTGTGAAGAGATACCATGACCATAGCAACTCTTATAAAGGAAAATATTTAATTGGTGCTGGCTTACAGTTTCAGAGACTTAGTTCATTATCATCATGGCAGGGAAACATGGCCGGATGCAGGCAGATATGGTGTTGGGGAAGGAGCTGAGAGTCCTACATCATGAACCACAGGCAGCAGGAGTGAACGAATGAGTTTCTGAGACCTCAAAGCCCACCCCCACAGTGACACACGTCCTCCAGCAAAGCCCCACCTCCTAAAAGTGCCAGTTTCTATGAACCAAGTATTCAAACATGAGTCTATGGGGGCCATACCTATTCAAACCAAAACATGTAGTTTTTGGTTGTATAGAATCTAGGAAAATCTAAGTGTCATTTCACCAGATTTAGGCATGTACACTTGCTAATAACCATTGAGAGGAAACTTAAGACATCCTTACCGCACACCGATTTTCTAGCTCCTGTCTCATTTTCCGCTCAGCTATTAGTCTCAGCTCCTGCTGTTTATTCCGTGCAGAGGTTTCATATTGGCTCTTGGCTAACAGCTCCATCTCTTTCTGCAGGTTATTCATTTCAGATACAAATCTCTGGATACTCAATGACTGGTGGGGAAGAGGAAAGGAAACAGAAATGCAAGTTAGACTCTCAATGAATAGTAAACACCAAGTTTGTGGGAATCATATTTTACCTGTTCGTAGTTCTTTTTCTGATATTGATCCTTAATTATCTCCATCTGCCTCAATTCTGTTTCTATTTGCTGAAAGTAAATGTTCAAATAACATAAAAAAAAAAAAAAAACAAATGCCAGTAGATTAACTTTAGCTTTTAGTCTGGCTGAATGCTAACTTTTCAGTTTCTGCTGGTTCTATTTCCTACCTAGCCCACTGACCCCAAAAGAGCCAGATGGGTAGTCTTCTATATACATTCTGTATATGAGGACTGCCCACCTTAGGAAAGATGGATGGGAGACAGACACACTACAGAAGCACAAGGAGACCCACATTACACAGCAGTACCTCCACCAAAGCACAGATGATCCCACAAAAGTGACCTGCCCACTTCCCCAAGAATATACACTGTGGCCAGGGCTCTGAAACAACATCCCAGATCCTGAAGCCAGAGGACCCTCCCAACCCACTGAAGCAGTATGGAGAGGGCTGGGCATCTCATACAACCTTCATCCTCTCCAAATTCTGCACATTATTTGCCTTGGCTGACAAGTGCAGCTTTATTTGGGCCTTTTGATTCTTTAGTTTCTCCTTGTTACTGTTCACTACTTTTTCTAGCTCCATAAGTTTCTGTCGTAGCTCTCGGTTTGTCCGGGACACTTCCACTGATCTGATGTTGGCTTCGTCAAGAGCTTTCTTCAGCTTAGAAGACAAAAGAACAAAAGAGAAGGAGTGCCTTTTACTATTTGGTAAGAGAAGCTACACTTTGTTCCTACATTTCCAAAGGAGACTGCTGGCAGGAGAAACAGCTCAGACGTTAAGAGCACTGCTGCTCTTGCAGAGGTCCCGGATTCAGTCTCAGCACCCACATGGTGGCTCACAACCATCTGTAACTTCAGTTCCAGGGGATGTGATGCCTTCTTCTGACTTCTGAGGGTACTAGGCATGCACATGGAACACAGACCTACATGCAGGCAAAGACTTATACATATAAAAAAATAAGAAAATGATACAATGCATGATGTCTGATTATACAGATTTATGGAGCAATTTTCACCATTTGAGACTATAACACTCTTTAAACTAGATAAAGACTGTGAATGCTGAGCATTGCTATAGAGAGACCTAAGTTCCTGTCTCAGTTGCATTACCTATGAATAGGTTTGTGTAATTAACTTTCAAGCCTCAGGTTCATCAACTGAAAAATGAGTGGATTGCCTATTAAGGGGATACATTAGAGTTCAGTAAAACAAGTCAAGAAAGAAAACAGAACACAGTTGTAGAATATTATTTTAAGATGTGTTACATTTATTTATGCTGTGGAATATTTGTTTAATGATGCAAAGATGTGTTGCATTCTGTTATGTTGCATTTGTTTCACTCTGTGAAGCTGTGTTACTGTGCCTGTCTAATAAAGAGCTGAATGGCCAATAACGAGGACAGGTGTGGCTGGCAGGCAGCGAGCACAAATGGGGAGAGAAATCTGGGAGAAGATTGAGGTACAAGAAGAGGAGGAGGACATCAGGGGCCAGCCCCCCAGTTATACAACAAGTCACAGAGAAAGAAGGAAAGAAAGTATACAAAATAGAGAATGGTAAAAGCCCACAGACAGAAGATAGACAGGGTAATTTAAGTTAAGAAAAGCTGCCAAGAAACAAGCCAAGCTAAGGCTGGGCATTCATAAGTAAAAATAAGCCTCTGGTGTTTACTTGGAAGTGGGGTGGCAGTTCCCCACAAGCAAAGAGTAAGAGCCAAAAGAGTAAAAGTCATTCAATAACACCCACTACACAGTGATTACTTCCATACTGTAATTATTTTCTTGTTGCCTCATGGCTCAAGAAATGAAAATAAATTTAGAATAGTTGGACACACTTGGCAGATGTTCACTAATACTTCATGCATTTGATAGTGCTTTAGTACTTTTGTCTCATGGAAAAGTAATATCATGAATGATTTTACATTGTCCTGGTCCTTACAATGTTCCTTTAAATTAAAGAGGTGGCTGAAGGGAAATGAACAGAGGGAAGGCTACTCAAGGTCGGGAAGCATCTGCCAACACATGTAGTCAGTGCTTTCTGTCCCTGCTCTCACCGCAGTAGTTCTGTCTTTTCAAGTTATGGTCCTGCACACTCTTCTGCTGCCAGCACTAACCATCTATGACATACTCCACTGCTATCTCAAGGCAGACTTATACCACTAGTTATGTTTGCCCATATGGCACAGATATTTTCCAATTTAATTCTTTAAACAAATCTGAAAAGGAGTTGTGATGGCCTTGATTTTATGACAGAGGAAATGAATATGTAGCTAATATTCACTAGCAGGGCTAGGACTCAGCAATGCTCTGAACTCAGTCTGGGCATCACACCAATGGCACACTGTTGCTAGGTTCCCTCACTTGTTCACCATTTTCACTGATGCTTCCTTTAGGGTTTTAGGGTTTCAAATTTAGATCTACTTATGTATCTGAGTGTTCTACCTGCCTGTGTGTATGTATGCCACATGTGCCTCATTCCCAATAAGGTCAGAGAGGGCACTGGATCCCCTGAAATGGGAATTATGGGAGGCTCTGAGCCATATGTGTGCCAGGAACCCATTCCTGGTGTCCTGCAAGACCAACAAGTACTCTTAACTTCTGAGCCATCTCTCCAACCCCAGGTTCCAGTTTTCTGTGTGTTCTGAGCAATAGTGTACTTTTACATGCAGGACACCTATTTGCCTCCCACATAATTGCTTTTTCTAACATATGTATACAGTGGTTTGCAGGTCACTTTAAAAAATATCACTAACTGTATCTGTCAATTTCAATGACTAAATGTAGCACATTTCGTAAAAAAATTCTCAAGTCTTAAGTGTGTTTACTGCTTTTTAGTATACGTTTTACTATTTAAAACATTTTTTAAATTTAAATACATTTTGATCGTATTCTTCTCACCCAAGTCCTTCCAGATCCTATCTCCTTCCCTACCCACTCAACTTTAAATTCTTTTTCAGTAAACAAACAAAACCCCAACACAACAAAACCCCCTCAAAACCAAGAAAACAAAACTATACCAAAAAAAAAAAACCTAGCCAACTAAATAAATATAAGTACGCAAAAATTTGGTTCTCCTTCTTCCATGCTCAGTATACACAGTTAACGTGTTTTTCCCTCTATTAAAATAGCATTTGATTTAATTGTTCCCTTTTTCAACAATTAACCCTTTTACTTGATCCTGATTATCAATTACCAAAAGCTACTATGGTTTTCTTATGCCCCCATCTAGTTTCTTTATTCTCCCCTACTTTCTACTGTCATCACAATAACGTAAAGCTGTTCCCATAGTGCTCACGTTTCACCTGACAGTTCCCATCCAGTGGTCTAGAAGGCAAGGCTGTGGGACCAGGTGGCCCATCTAAGGTAACTTGTCTTACCCTGATTTGCGTTTTTGTGGCTAAGCTTTGCCCAGGCTCTTATAAGAGGGCCTCACCCTGCATGCCTATGAGACTCAAAGCTATGCCTTCATTGCTTCCTGCCTTCTAGCTGTCAACCAGCCTAAAATAAATTTTCTCTTACTTTGAATTCCTTCAAAGCTGTACACTACTTCTAGTTACCCAAGAAAAGCTCTCTGATGTCTTGTTATTTTTCTCATGTCCAGAGTGGCCATCACAACTAAACAGGGATATTGGCTCATGCATACAGCATGTGTCACATCTTTTATAGCTCTTTTGTTGTTGTTGTTTGTTTTATACAAGGTCTCATGTAGTCTAGACTGGTGTTGAACTCAGTATATAGCTGAGAATAACCTTGAACTTCTGGTTCTCCTATCTTTTCTTCCCAGGTGTCGAGGTTGCAATTGTGCACTGCAGTGTGCTGCTGAAGATGGAAGCCAGAGCTTTGTTCGGGTGAGCAAGCATTGTACAGACTAAGCTACATCCCCAGCCCTCTACTGCTGTTCTAAGTGCAGATACACAGTGGCTGGGGAGGCAGATGGGCAGATGGGCTGAGAAGATGGTGACTAGATAGATGGCAGTCTTCTCAGGCCTCTGACAGGAACGTTCTTAAGGCACCCCTTGGCCAGGCAGGGAACTGCGATATCAGAAACAGCTTTCTTGGAAGTGTTGTGGGGGGGCAAACAGAGGTGGTCAAAGCACATCTGGCTCAGACAACAGCAGACACTGCACCAGCTCTGCTGGTGACCCTAAGAGGTGCTCCCCCTCACCTCAGAAACTTCCCTCTGTGCGGCTTTCTTCGAAGTCTCTCTCTCAGTCTGAAACTGCTTTCTCAGCGCTTCAATGCGCTCTGCATGCAGTTCTGCTTCTACTTTCGACTCCTCAGCCACCCGAGCTCTGTTTTGAAAGAAAAATGATAAACTCATTTTAAATATCATCTTAAAAGTTGAGAAAGGTTTCCTGGGGAATGTGCAACCCGCTAAAAGATGTGTGATTTACAAATGAGCAGCATCAGCCATCAGTGCAACCTCATGAGCAGCAGCTAAGAGCCAGAGAAAGGGGCCATGTGGTGTTAACCAAACTCTGCATGAAGGATTAAGCCCAAAGTGGGGAAACATTCAGAGAAACAGCAGAGGTACAATCAAAATGAGAGAGGATTGCTTTGTTTTGTCATTATTTATTATTTATTCTCCAGGCCAGTGGTTCTCAACCTTCCTACTACTGTGACCCTTTAATACAGTTATTCATGTTGTGGCGAGCCCCAACCATGAAATTATTTTCATTGTTACTTCATAACTGTAATTTCACTACTGTTAAGAATCACAATGTAAAATGTCTGTTTTTTCCAATGGTCTTAGGCAACCCTTGAGAAAAGGTCACCTGAAACCCCAAATGGGGTTGTGACCCACAGGTTGAGAACCACTGTTTTAGGTTTAAGCTGCTAATTATATCTATCTGTTTTTTCCAGTGGTCTTAGGCAACCCTTGTGAAAAGGTCACCTGAAACCCCAAATGGGGTTGTTACCCACAGGTTGAGAACCACTGTTTTAGGTTTAAGCTGCTAATTATATCTAACTGATCAGCATTCTTAGTTTGGGTTCTTTGGAAAAGACCCATGATTAGGCATCTGAAAATGCTGAAATCCCCTGAAATGGCAAGTAAAATGTGTGTGCTGTCTACACTTTTTACCCCTATAATGACACATGAAAAGTTAACACCCATGGACATGATCAATGATTCCTTCCATCCTTAGGACTGACCCAGCATGTGACTCTCCTGAGGTACCAGTGTTTCTCGGAGCAGGTGGCTGCCTTGCCTGTGATCTTTTCCTTCTGAGCATGTCTTCTGTGTGTTAGATTGTGAAAGCCTCTGCTAATGGATTCCATTTTTCCACTTGGCAGCACTGCCTTGGTGTGCTGATGAGGCAACTGAAGGCAGAACTGTGACTCCATTCCACTGTCATTTCCTGGCCCTCACAAGGTTCCTAACAGGGAACTTTACTGTTATCTCAATGCCTACTGATACCTTTTCTTTCAAAAATTACATTTACTTGTGTGTGTGTGTGTGTGTGTGTGTGTGTGTGTGTGTGTGCGCGTGTACACATGTGGTGTCAAAGGACAACCTGTAGGAATTGATTCTCAGGTCCTCTCAGGCTCCATGGCAAACCCTTTTACCCACTGAACCATCTCACTTCCCCACTGATACATTTCCCATGACACCACATAAAGGAATGGGACAATCTGAAATCATTGGTGAGATATTGTTTTGTTACTACGTACTTCCCCACTGATACTCCCACTGATACACCACATAAAGGAATGGGACAATCTGAAATCATTGGTGAGATATTGTTTTGTTACTACGTCGCTACACTCCTCCCACACCATACTCATCTGTAACACAAAAAATAAAAGGCCCACAGACTGATATTGGGGTTCAAGCTTCAAGCTGAAGTTCAGAAAAGCAAAGTAGCCAGCCACTAGCTCTTACCTTTACCTCAGGTGAATGGGCTGATTCTGCCGCCTCCTACTGAATACTGAAGACCCTGCTTCTATCATTTATAACACCTCTAGTACTGGGATTAAAAGCATGTGATCCATTACTCTTTTAGACTGATTCAATTTCATGTATCCCTGGGTGGCCTTGAACTCAGATCTACCTACCTCTTAATCCCGAGTCCTAGGATTAAAGGTATGTACCACCAACTCCTAGCTTCTGGCTGCTGGGATTAAAGGTGTGACATCTATTCAGTACATATAGTGCTGTTAAATATGGACCTCATGGAAAAGTCTTTAGAACATATTTGAATCCTGCTCTTCTTTTCTTCTGAGGCAGCCATCAGACCATCATCTCACAGTTAGTTCCTGGAACAGTTTTCTGGTTTCGGTGAGACATACTTGCCTAATCTCAAACTCACTGACAACCTTTCAACTTTTGAATTTCCCAGAGTTCAGTGGAGTGCTTCTGATCAGAGTCCAAGCTCTCTGTGTAGACCCAGAAAGGAAGGAATGTAGCAGGAGTGCTCTTCTTCACATACAGCCCGAGCCTTCACCCTCTCACTGCCCTCTTGCCTGCTTTTCCCCACCATCTGAGTTTTGCTTCTTTAAGATCAGGAATTTTCCAGATCTAGGAGATTCTTATTCTGTGTAATCTTCTAGAGCTACTGAAATGGTCATGTGAGGATGCTCAGTAGATAGCACCTGTAAGCTCAATCGCTCCTTCTCTGGCCTCTTCCTTCTTGAAATCAGCGCCGCTGCCACACTCTGACCTCCTTTCTACCTGTCCTTTCCCAGGAAGACAACACACTTCATCCGTGTAAAGATGAATTCCAGTCGTCACCTCTTTTCAGAACAAGCCTGCATTTCTTCATCTCATAATTCTATCTCAAGACCAATGTGTCTAAAACATAACTTCCCACGCTTGATCTTTCTAAGTGTGTACACAGATTAGTAGAAATCTGCATAGTATCAAGAGTTGACAAGTCTCAAGTGATAGGTAAGATTCTTTGATGGCAATGGAGTGATAAGTGGTAGGTAGACACATTTGAAGCAAATGCCACATGGCCTCAGTCTCACCTTACTCTCCTGTCACTGACCTTGCAATAACCATTTTAGCAAAAGTGAGAACAGGTATTATTCTGTTTCTTTTTAAATTGAAACAGTTTTTTCATATAATTTATTCTGATTATGGTTCCCCTCTGTCACTTTCACCCACTTCCCCAAATCTACATCCTTTCTTGCTCTCTTATTAGAAAACAGTAAGAAAATAATTGTAAAATAAAATAAAATAAAAACAAACCTGAATAGGACAAAACAAATGAACAGAAAAAAAAAAAAAAAAAAAAAAAAAAAAAAAAAAACCACACCACAAAAAACCTGAAGAATTTTCAGGATATCAGGGATAGGAATGACTCACTAGGAAAACAAACAATCTGACTTTGATGGGTTTTTTAATGATTCTGCCAGCCACCATACACAGTGTTGTTTTAGCCAATACTGCACAGCTTTGTGACAGTAACATCTGACCAGAAAATAAACTGCACAGATTTCATGTACGGAAAGTACCTTCTCTGCCTAAGCGTCTGCCCTGATCCTGCATTGACAGGTAAAATCAGTGACAAGAATGAGGTCCTATATGTGTGTCCCTAAGCATAAATGTCCATAGAATAATATTAGTGTCTAGATCGTATTTACTGACATACTGTTTGTAACAAAACTTTCATGGTTTGACAGAACCAATTTCAGGCAAAAAATTAATATAATGGGCTATCATCTCCTTAGATGAGGTCATTCCAGTCCTGGATGAGTAGATCCACTCACATTACTGTGACTCCTTGCCCAAATCTGTATTGCTTATTTTGGTTTCCTTAATTTTTATTGGACACACACACATGTCAGAGGACAACTCTTGGGAGTTGGTTCTTGTAAGCCTGGGGATTGATCTCAGGTCATCTTCCACACAAGTGCCACTACCTATTAAGCTATCTCTTTCAGCCCTTACTTTGGCTATCTTGAGACAGGATCTTACTATAGCTCATGATGGCCTCAAGCTCATGACCTTCCTGCCTCAGCCTTCTAAGTATGGAAACTTTCAGTGTGCCTCCCACACCTGGCTCAAATAATGCTTTTAAAGGATGACTTAAGCTAGGCATAACATGTGAGTGTTCCCCGAAGTAGTCTTTACATTTTGTGTTAACTTCACAAAGAATCATCTTGATAATGGGTGAGGAAAACTGGAAAGGAGACCCACACAGGCATGCTCCAGCACCTGTTACCTGCTGCTGTTCAACTGTGCTTGCTTGCTTGCTTACCATGAAAGAGAAAGGCTTCACTACCTTATCTGAACAAGCCACGTACTCCTCCAGAGGCTCTTCCCCAATTTCACTGTGAATTCATGACTCTTACTTGAAGGCTTCTAAATTCTGCCGCTCAACTTCTTTGTTTTCCAGTTTTTCTTGGATGTGATCTAGCTTAGACTGCAGATGGCCATTTGTCTGGAGAGCTTGCTCTAGGCTCAAGGCCAGTTTCCTGTTGTCCTCTCTGGTTATATCTAGAGACTTCTGGAGTGGCTCCATCTGAAAGGGAGAAGAGCACCTGTCAGTTCATGGCAGTCAGTACAACAGTTTTTGCTCCTTCCACTTTCTCTGTAAGTGGCATGGAAATGATCAGTTGGAACTAGAAACAAATTCTCTAGGTAAAATATATAATACACACACAGCAAATTACAACCATCATTGCTTAAGAGACTCTCAGAAGGCAATTCCCCCGGAGATCTAAGAGCACTGGAAAATAGAGCTAGCTTACATTGTCTTGATTTTCAAGAGTTTAACCAGTTAAATTAGTCTCACTGATTCTATCCCCGTCTGGTCTCATTCTCTAGGAGGTAAAAAACTGGCAACTATTCCTTGTATATTCCCAAACCAGGCTTATTTGAGGGCTATTGTAATGGCTCAGTAGGGGAAGTCACCTGCCACCCAGCTAACCATCTTGAGTTCAATCACTTGTACCTACAAGAGGGGATGGATTCCCACAAGCTGCCATATGACCTCTGCACATGGCACATGTGTGCTGGCCTCCAAATAAGTAAACATCAAAAGGTTTATTCAGGTTTGATATATATAATGCATGTTTGTATGGATATATCCATACACATGACATGCACATGTCAGCTCATTAAGTCATCATCTAGCTGTGAGATTATAGGTTGATGGGTACACATGTGTGCACATGTCAGCTCATTAAGTCATCATCTAGCTGTGAGATTATAGGTT